CTCGTTCCTTGCTCTATTACACGATCAGCACGGGAATAACGCTCTTCGTTCGACTTTTGAGCGCGAACACGGGTGCGGGAAGACGGGACCTTGGGCATGGTTAGGAAGGCTGGAGTCAGGAAGGAACGGTTACAATGGCCCGGGGCCTACCGACCTTATATGCAGCCAGCGATTCAACACGCGGCACGGCGAAACGATATTCCAGGGTATCGGGACGATAGCCCTAAGAAGGGAGGTAATGTTACAAGTAACAAGAAGGATTCTTTCCTTGACAAATGACGAGATGGCTGCGAGCCTAGGGACGTCCACGTCAAAAGGTAATGGACATTGCGGGGCTCGGAGTCACGTGATGTGCCATCCCGCCAAGGCTGGCCATCCGGGATGGCAGTGCATAAAGGGATGGCAGCGCCATCCCAGACCTCCCGCCAAGATGGGATGGACGGGATGGCAGGACTGGAAGCAATGAGGATATAAGGATGGATGGATTTCATTATTACTCTCGTTGTGGTCAACTCAAATTGTACTTTCTTACTAGTATCTTTACTTAACAAGATTGTCACAAGTTAGTCTATCAAATAGATTAGTCTTGTCAAACCCTCCTTAAGCACGCCAACTCCACTGCATCGCCAGACAAGCCTCACGGAACACTAACGTAATACTCACCTGCCTTAGTGCGGACCAGGATAGAGAAGTATAGACCTATACCCCGTGTAACACTAAGTAGTTTACGAAGTTTAACGTTTAGGAAGGATTTTACTAAATTAGAATTAAAGAAGGTTATAAGTAGATAATAGTATTTAAAACAAAGTACAGACTCTTTAAATATATAGTTATGCTATTCGGATTAACGAATGCGCTAGTAACCTTTTAATTAGTTATTAATAACGCACTCTACGAATACCTTAGAATCTTTATTACCGCGTATCTAGACGATATACTAGTGTACTCTAGCAGCACACGCGAAGAACATACTAAGTATATTAAGAAGGTTCTACGAAAGCTTAAGAAATACAAGCTATATCTTTAACTAGAAAAGTGTGAATTTCACATATAGAAAACAGAATTCCTTAGATTTATTATATTAACTAAAGGAGTAAAAATAAACCTAAAGAAGATATAAACTGTATAGGAATAGCTAATACCTAAAATAGTTAAGAATATTTAATCCTTCTTAAGATTTGCGAATTATTATTAAAAGTTTATTAAAGATTATTTAAAGATCACAGCACCCCTTATAGAAGTAACAAAGAAGGAAATAGGTTTTAAATAGAAATAGAAATATTAAGAGGCTTTCGATTGAATTAAGCAGATATTCCTAGAGGCGCCAGTACTTAAGATATACAGCCCTTAACGACCTACCAAAGTTAAGACCAACGCGTCTAACTATGCACTTAGAGCTGTATTATCATAGTAGTGCCTAGATAAAAAATAGAGACTAGTATTCTACTATTCACGAAAGTTCTCAGAAGTAGAACTTAACTACGATGTTCACGATAAGGAACTACTTAGAGTAGTTGATGCCTTTAAATAATAGGAAGTGTACCTACTAGAACTCCCCAAACAGATCGAGGTTTTTACTAATTACTAGAACTTAACGAGTTTTATAATAACGAAAAAACTTAACTAATAATAAGTATAATAGATAGAAACGCTAGCCTAGTTTAACTTTAAGATTACGCACCGCGCAGAGACGCTTAATAGAGCAGTAAACGCTTTAAGTAGAAGGTCTAATTTACGCGAAGAGAGTTATAAAGAACTATATAACGCCTTACTTAAGACAATGCCCAATAGCAGTCTAAAGTACAACTAGCTAGAACTAGCTAAAGTAGCTAAGATAGCTGAGCAAGTGGAAACACTTAAATAACAATAGCAGGAAAAGGCAACGCTATAGCAACAAATACTAGAATACCCGCCGGAAGTAATAAATAATAGAAGAGAACTTAAAGCTCTAAGAGAAGGTATACAGACATACGTACCCCCTTATATAAGAGCCGAACTCATTAAGACACTACATAAGTCCCTAGAATACGGACATATAGCAGCAGACGAAATAGTTAGGCGACTAAAAAGAATATTTAAGATACTACGCTTGCGAGCAAAGGTGTAGGAAATACTAGGTAACTATTTAGCATATCACTAGAATAAGCCTAAGAGATATAAGCTCTACGGCCTATTACAACCTCTATAGCCACTATCTAGACTATAGACAAGTATAATAATAGACTTCATAGTAAAGCTCCTAAGATCGTTAGAACTAAGATCAGCTCAATTTTGCGATACAATCCTAGTAATTATAGACTAATTAACTAAGATAGCGAAATTTATACCTATAGAAGAGACTATTATAGCAGATAAATGCGCGTATAAGGTTATAAAGGTACTAGTATTAGAGCATAGGATATCTAAAGAGTTTATTACTAATCGTGATAAACTATTTACGTCTAAATACTAGAGTATATTTCTAGTAAAGTTAGGTATTAAAAAGAAGCTTTTAACAAGCTTTTACCTAGAAATAGATAGCTAGATAGAACGAACGAACTAGATATTAGAACAGTATCTATAGATATACGCTAATAAGCTGTAGGATAACTAGGTAGAACTACTACTAATAGCGCAATTAGCCTATAATAGTACGAAATTAGTAATAACGAAGCATTCGCCGCACTACGCGAACTACGGATATAAGCTAACTGCTTATTAAGATCTAAGAGATATTAAAAGTATCGCGGTAGAAGCAGATAATAAAGCGAAACTTATGCGAGAATTATATGAAGAATTAAGTAAAAATATAGCTTAACGAAACCTTACAATATCTAAAGTAGTAAATAAGTAAAGGATTAAGGGACTAACCTTTAAGAAGGGGGATAAAGTTTTCCTATTAAGATAAAATCTGAAAACTAAACGACTATATAGAAAATTAGATAACCTCTAAATAGAACTATTTAAAATCTTAGAGGAAATAGGAAAAGTAAACTATAAGTTAAAACTTCTATAAGGTATACAAATCTACTCTATCTTTTATAAAAAACTTCTAGAACTAGTACCTTTAGATACTAAGCTAGTAATAGATATAGAGCTCGAAGACGACGAGTACGAGGTCGAGGAAATTAAGGACCTATAGAAAATTAGTAGTTAGTAGAAGTACTTAGTTAAGTAGTAAGGATAGCCTAAAAGCTATAACACTTAGGAATCTAAAGGAAATCTGACGAACTGTAAGTCACTAGTACGAGAATACTACTAGAAGTACCTAAAGAAGCGAGGGGGAGCCTCTCGAAGAGGAAGAAATAATTAAAAGAAGAATTGTAGTAATTAGCCTATAACCCGCCTAGATTAGCTGATGGTTTAGATAGCGATGGTTCGACAGTAGAAGGATTAGTACTAGGGGCTGAGTTCCCCGCAACCTACTCTTTTGCGCGCTCTAACTCTTTTAGTACCGCCAAATCACGATAAGTAAATGAATGCTCTTACTCTTCAGCCTCTAGAAGCTTAACCTTTCTTTAAGCTAATTGCGCCTCTAATTGGGTAATCTTAAGACGCTTCTAACGCTTTTCTCGCTAAACCTTCTTCTAATCTTTATTAGAAATAAAAAGGCTACACTCCGCCTTTACGGCAATATAACTAGCGTACTGCCTAGACGCTATGTTAATAAAATAACGAAGACTCTTCTCTTTATAACGGTCGCACTTAGTAACTATTTCTAAGCCAGCGCTTTCTACCTTTACGGCACGAAACTAGCGCTTCTTAGTTAAAGTGTACTTTCGAGACTAATGGGGAGGTTAGACCTTAGGTATAGTTAGGAAGGCTACGAGGCAGAGACGGCTATAATGAGTGGACGGGCTCTAACCTTATATGTAGCCGACGTCTTAACACGCAGTACGGGAAAATAATATTCTAGAGTATTAAGACAATAGCTCTAAGAGGGGAGGTAATATTATAAGTAATAAGAAGGATTCTCTCCTTAATAAGTAATAAGATGGCTAAAGGCCTATAAACGTCTACGTTAGAAGGTAATAATCATTACGGGGCTAGGTCACGTGATGTGCCATCCCGCTAAGGGTAACTATCTAAGGGATGGTAGGGCGCCTTAGGATAGCAGCTATCCCCAATATCATAACTATCCTAGGGATGGCAAGGAAGGAAGGGATAGTAGGACTGGAAGTAATGAGGATATAAGGATAGATGGACTTTATTATTACTCTTATTATAGTTAACTTAAATTGTACTTTCTTACTAGTATCTTTACTTAACAAGATTGTTATAAGTTAGTCTATTAAATGTAACGGCGCAGGCAAGACTACTCGGATCAGTATCGGCGGTAGTGTCACTCAGAGGCATATGGGAGTGCGTGGGACATCAAACGAGCCTTAATTCGAATAGACACCTATAGGCCTTGTACGAAAGGATATCAAAAATCTATCGAGCTACGGTATGGAGAAGGTGGGGTTTTATATCAGCAGATCTGCCCTCGGCTAGTGCGTGCCCATGTTCGGATCCCTTTCGGATGTTAGTTCAGTGTGTACTCGAACCGTTACATTAAATAGATTAGTCTTGTTAAACCCTCCTTAAGTACGCCAACTCCACTGCATCGCCAGACAAGCCTCACGGAACACTAACGTAATACTCACCTGCCTTAGTGCGGACTAGGATAGAGAAGTATAGACCCATACCCCGTGTAACACTATCCAGATCGCTGCCCAAATTTGAATAGTTATATCCCGAGCTATTTTAAAAAGTATAATTAGTAATTAAATATAAAACTATCGTTATAATATTAAAACTTATTTAAATAATATAATAGAATAATAAAAAATTAAAATAACTTACTAGTATTTCTAGTAGAAACTAGATTTCTACTAAGCCGTTGATTTCCTCGTTTTCTAAAGTATTCTGAACGAGATCCGTGTCCCCGTTGTATTCCACACTCGTCAGAATAGATAGTCTTAGTATAATCTTAATTAGTAATCTGAGCTAGGCTCTCCTTAGCCTATACTAGTCTCTTTTAGGCTTTTTTAGCGTTTAAAATTAGTTTTTTTGTCGATTTATTTAACGTCCAACCTTCAGCCTTTAAAGCCCGTTGAAGCGTTCTAGTTGAGATATCTAAATTATTTTCTTTTAATAATCTAGAATTTGTTTTCTTAGGGCTTCTAATTATGTCTCTATTAATAACTCTTTTAGCTCTTGTAGAAAGCTCTAGATTTCTTCCTCTTTTAGCTCGTTCTTGGCAGATTTTTATATTTTTTTTCTTTTTAATCCGTCGAATAGCGTCGTAGATAGATTGTAGTTTTTTTTAGAAATAATTTACAATAGATTAGATTAGGATTTTAGCTTACAAAAAACGGTCAATTTCAGCTTCAAACTTAGAAAATTTCGAATCCATAGTAGAGAAATAGAAGAAAAGAAGGTGTATAGTAAGAAGATATTAATTTATACTATAATGTTACTAATAAATTAGTCAGATATAGCTTACGTAATCAACCTATTAAATTATAAATCTTCAGCTTTTAAAAGATATATATTAGCTATATCTAACTAAGGTACATATATATAAAGATTATATAGTCTAATATACTATATATAGAAACTATAGTATAATATCTATTTAATAAAAAGAAATTACTATTTTTAGTTCTTAGTTTTTTTTCTCTTATATTTTTGGTTTATTTTAGCTAACAAAAAGGCTGACTTACAGTCACGTGACTACCCTATACTAAACTAGGACATCTTGGCTTTAAAATGCATTAACCCGTTTTAGGATAGCTTTTCTAGTTATTAAGTAATAAATGTTTAAAAACGACAACTTTTTGGATTTGGACTTTTTTTTGTCACCCCACTGTATTATACCTGTTATAGTCGATCATTCTCGATTGAAGCCTCGTGGCGTTATCTCGCGGTATATCTCGTAACTATCTCGCCCTAACCTAGACCAAGACTGGGAAGTATATCCTAGACCACGGGTAACATAAAGCTTAGCGGCCTTGACCCTCAAGATGGATCCACGACAAACGGCGGGGTAGACATATATCCTACATCTTAATTTCCTGTGGCTGCATATAACTATCGTATTTTACATTCTACTGCAAACTGCCTTGCACTGACAACTCGAACCAATCACGTGAAAAACAACACACTAAACTAGCGATATAATTACAAGTTGGAGAGAAGATCCTATACTTGGCAAATGACATGACAGTATTGTTGGCGAAAATGTCACGATTCTGCAAGTTTCATTCGCTGAACGAAGTAAAAACACGTCAGCGCCATAGCCAATCGTGACAACTCGTCATTTCGCATAGCAAGAAACAACAAAGTCAAAAACTCAATATGCGAAAAAGAAAATAGCGAAATCCAAGAGAGAAAAAAAAAACATATAGTCATAGTGTTTCCCCGGGGTTGAGATAAATATAGCATTATCACACTTTTTCTTCTTTCCTCTGGCGCCAAAAAAAAGAGGACAAGAGAGAAACATCACAAAGAACACAAAGACTCAATTCTCTGCGCAAAAGATCAACAGAAGCCTCATTCCACACACTCTATCCCAACATGATAATCTTTTTTCCCCACAAGAATCTCCCCCCTCCACACTTGCCCTCCCCCCATGTCCGCCCAGCAGCAGTAGCAGCAGCCCCCCCCGCATACCGAGAAACCTCGCGCGGGCAGAGCGGACGAACACGCACACAAATGAAAGTAAGGCTGCCCGTCCCATTCGATCGGAACCAAAGCGAGCAAGTTTAAACCCTCGTGACCTGGGTGTGTGATGTCCCAAAGCGGTAAGCCGTTGATATGGTGGTGGGGGGGAGGGCGCCCCCATTACTCAGTGGGGCAAACCGTCCGTTCCATTGCGCAAGATGTGAGCATGAGAGCACCTCGGTTCCGCTTTTCCGCCCTGGGATCCCGCAACGCAAGTGCAAGCAAAAAAAAAACGCACGAGGCTGCACGCCGCACGCACACAGAAAAGGGTTGTTATGTCATGTGATGCCATGGCGAATGCCAATGCTCAATGCCATGCCCGCCAATGCTCCATGCCAATGGGGGAGGAGGGGAAAGAAGGGAAGCGAGAGAAAGGGCTAACCACACAGCACGCGCGAGTAGTGAAATTTCTGATGGCTTGGGAGCATAATGCGGAGAAAAACGACATGCATGTAGGGTTTGTCTTGGTGCCGATTCTGATACGCCGAGGCCGCCCGGCCCGTACCTGTGTGGCCATTTTTGGGCCTTGCAACTTGTGGCAAGGCCAGAATATGTAGGGGAGCGGAGAAAGCACATTCCTTTCCTCTTGCTCTCTCTTCTCTGTCTCGCTCGCTTCCTGTATATGTTACGAGATTCATGCACTAGCGAGGTACATGGCATCTAACCGAGGGCGTTGAGTGCATCAAGCCCTCTAGCAATGTATTGAGAGTACTCCTACTCGGCATGCTTGCGGAAGGGTTAGCGGGTACGATGATTTCTTGTTGGGGGTGATTAGTTCCAAAAACCCCAGTTGCCCATCGGCTTCTGAACAGAATGCCCTGGTAAGATGCAGTGTAGTCGGACGGGCTTTGCTATGAGGACACAAGGGCACAAAAGGGAATAGCGCCGTGTCCGAGTTTTTTTTCTTCCTTCCATGTCGTGCCGACGACTGGGTCTTGTTACCCCACGCACGTGTGGGAATAAGCAGTGGAGAAAGAAGGGCCGAACGTGCTTGAGCTGGAAAAGACGTAATGCCCAGTCGATTAACCCCGAAGGCGATGATGCAACGATTCGGTGAGCAAAAGAGCGGGCGGCCGGACAGCATCATCATCAATTACGTCGTTTGTTGTCACTTGTTGCTGTTCAGTTTTACCGCCTCGAAAAACAAACGAATGCGCAAAGGGGTGGTGACGGACTGGGCAGAACAATCGCGGTGAGAGAGGGCATAACGCAATGCGACGCGTGTGTGGCATGGGGGTACAAAGCGCGTGTTTGACGGTCATTGGGGGTGATGGTGCGTGCAGGCAGTGTAAAAGATGGGCGGCCAATCAACAAGTGTGAGTGAGGCTCGGTGCCCGCACCCGTACCAACGCCCGTGGGTAATAGCTCCCGAGACCCCAAGGTCCCTGATCGCACGCCTCCTGCCGCTGTTGCAAAACAAATTTAACTTTCGGAACAAAAACAACACGGGCGATCATTAGACATGCCATTAACAACTCTTGATATGTAGATGTAGATTTGATCATTCTCGACTATTGCGTATGCATGCGCCTGTAGTTCAAAAAGTGCATTTTTGGGTGCGGCCAATTACCATACAAACAAAAAACCATACCATGTCATGACGATACGAAAAAGCAATGTCGGAAGTTCTGTCGCCATGACGAAATGCCGAAATCATTGTCAATGGATTCTATCGGACGAGTCCCACCCAATGCATGTAGTAGACCAAAAGAAATAATGCCAGATCCCGGCACCAAGACATGGAACCAGTCCGAGGGTTCTTACATGGAAATAACGCCAGGGAAATGCAATGACAAGAATAGTTCAGACGTATCAAATATTGACAGTGAAGAAAAGGTAAAGGTGGATGCAGGGGTATTAGTCGGGTCTGGCGAGAATGGCAGCCACGGCGTCACACGGGGCGCAGGGCTGGATTTTGCGTTTCGGCTCCTCAGGAGCAGGAGCAGGAGGCGGACATACGCACTCGTCCTCGTCGGAGCTGGAGGCTGAGGCCCGGTGCGCTTGGGAGAGTCCCGAGGCGTCTTTTGGCACAAAGTAGGACCCGCTACGTTCGTATTGTGGCGTGCTCGATCCTTCAGCAGAGAGGAATACTGATGCACGTCTGGAAAAGTGGCCGCTCGATAGCTCGTCGTCGCACGAAGGGTACGCGGTGCCCCAAAAAGGCAGCTTTGGCGGAGTTCCTTGGCCGTTGTATGGCACGTAGATGGATCCACCGCGCGGTCTCAAGAATGGGCTCGGGTCGTCAAAGTCTTCAAACGGACTCTCTCCTGCACTCTTGTCTGATTCTTCTTTGGTGGCCTCGAGGTGTGATCTCTGTAGCGCCATTTCGAGCTCTTCGGCTGAAAATGGCTGCGAAGCTTGACGGGTGCGATCTGATCCAGTAGCAGGCCTCGATGATTGGCGGCCATCGCTAGTTCGAATAGCGCCTTGTGACTGCTTGCGGCGAGCATCGCGAGGATCCTCGGTGGGATTGCGAGAGAGGCCGACTAGGCCAGGTTAGTATGATATCTGCCATGTCCACGAGGCGTTGCACATACCATTCAGGACGTCACCTTCGTCGTCAGATGCCTCTTTGATATTGGCGGGCCTGTCATCGCCAGCAATGCTGGCACCAATGCCGCTATCTACCCACTCAGACTCGGGGTCGTAGTCTGAGGCACAGCTGCCCCTTCTACTGCGGTGCATGCTGCGGCTGCGGCTGCGTCGCCTAAAGCTGCTCCTACGGCTGGGAAGCCTGCTTCCCATGGGTGAGTACAGCGAAGCGTTGCTGTGTCTGCGCCATGCAGTCGAAAAGCTAAAGGCCTCGAGTTTCTTCTTGTGCTCTGGGTCGACGGCACGGCGGTACTTGAGCGGAGGCATCTTCTCTCCAGGCTTGTAAAAGTCGGACTCTGGCTCTTCTGGCTTTGCGTTCCTGTGGGAGCCAGCCGTGAGTACACGCTTTAACCTTGTGCGTAGGTGGCCGGGCATTGTGGGCGGGTGGAGTGATTAGATTACTGTGTGGTGGTGGTGTTTGTGGTGTGGGAGGGTGTGGGAGGGTGTGGAGGGAGGGGATGTGCGCAGAAGAAGAAGGCAGTTGGAAGGGCGAAGCGATATGATGTCGGGCGCAGTGAGGCTGATTCGGTGTGGGGGCGTGACACAGACGCTGAGGAAGCCCTAGGCCTGATTGGAGGGCGGGCCACAGATAGAGAGACGGAGACTGGGCTGAGACTGGGACTGGGACAAGTGCCTCGTCAGGCGGTTGCAGTTGCAGACTGGGGAAGCGGAGGGGGTTATAGCAGAGCAGATGGCACCCAAGCCCGTGTATGACGGGCAGCGGGTGGGCTGCAGGGCGAAGCTAGAAGAAAACGCGGAGGGGCGCCGCGCTTGGCCGGCTGCACTCTAACGTATGGATGGATGGAGAGTAGGTGGTGTATGGATGAGCTACTGACGCGACGGTGCTGGGGGGGGGAGGTTAGTGACCAGGGCTGGCAGCACCTCTGGGCCAGCCAGGGAGAAGCGAAGGGGTAGGGGGGGGTTTGCGTGGGAGGGCGGCCAGGGTGATGGTGCAAGCGAGGGGCTGGCGGTAGAAGTTTTCTAGAAAGGCAGGCAGGCGCGAAAAGCGCAGGCTGTCGGAAGCCGTCGGCCGACAGCATTTCCACTGTTCCATCGTTCGACTGTGGGCCAGACTGGCTGAAGCGTGAGCGCTAGGCTGCTGGGGGGGTGAACTGCCGTTGGCTATGCAGCCATGGTTTGCCACTGTTGCCCGTAATTCGCGCATTGCTTTTGCTCAAGCCCTCTCTAAACCTACCACCCACCCTCCGAGCCACCCTCGTGTCGAGTCGATGCTCCGTCCTGTTGCTGTTGCTGTCCTCCACCTGCAGCCGCTGTCAAGATCGACTTTGCGGGCGCACATTGCCTGAAGATCATGGATGCGTCTGCTGGATATACGGTACGGACACAAATATCCAGAGTGCCTACTCTATCTACAAATATAACATAGTACGGCTGAGAGTGCATGTACACATACGCCCTTTGGTGGTGGCAGTAACAGCCAAATGTAACCTCTACAAGACATCAGTGCCACCCTGACACAGCTACACACAATGTTCCCACGGTTGGTTGTCCATGTCGCACCGGACAAGCCCGTGCTGGGAATAGGCACTCGACTGAGCTGGACCGTACTCGAACTGCACCGGACGGATGGCTCACTAACATGACGCCGCCCCACATCCCTCAAATCCCATCTCCTTTTTACCCCATGTATGGTAATACACACACGCCTGCACCCAGTAATAGGGTGCGGCCCAGCGCTGGACAGTAGTCACTCTTTGGGCGCTGCATCGCCCAACCGACGCAACAATCGCTGCAAATGGTAACGAGGCGCCCCGGCCTACCCATCGCTGCATCACCACAGCCGTCGGAGCGGCCGTCGTGATTGGCAGGCGCGCCTCTAGCCGCTGCACCTACCCAGCTACCCCAACAATGACCTCATAGGCGTCGGCCTGCTCGACACCAAACACCAAACATCGTCATGACTTGACCTCACCAGCTGTGCCCTGTTTCTCCCAACTTCCACTCATAACAATTAATACCACTATTCTGGTAATTTGCTTCCCTCGCTTGTGCTGACCCTTGAATCCCTCCGAGCATTGAAGCCCACCATCCTTCAGACCCTGGCCCAACACACGGCCCACAACTGTCAATATGGACAAGATCAAGAACGTCCTGTGTGTAGACAAAGCAGCCGCCGCCGCCATCTCCTTCTTATAGCTAACCCATCGTCAGTCACGGACACAAAAAGGACCAGGGTCAGGACGTCACTCATGACCCTCATCAGCCTGCATCCACCAACGAGACGTCGGTATTCCCATCATTCCACCGACACAGCGTCGCTAATACAAAACACAGTCAGCAACACCCCACCCACGATGAAATTTCCAGCAGCCGCCAAGGCAAACATGCCCCTCCTGGTCAGCCGCTATACAATATCAAAACTACGTCTGGTGCTCCCTATACCGAGTTAGCCAAGCCAGGTACTTTGGAACGGCTTCAAGGTCACAACTCTCATGGGAAACCAGAGCAAATCGGCACAGATGGCCCACTCGACACTGATAAGGTACAATCTCCAGTCAACAATGGCGCATCTCCTGCGGGAGCCCTTCGTCCCGATCCTCACCCACATGGCCACACTCAAGAGGCTAGTATTGCTAGCATCAAGAGCGGAGTCATTGGTTTTGGTCCGACAGAATCCCAGGGACATGCAGCCATGTCAATGCACAACCCCACTCAAAGCAACATGACCGAGGGCCAAGTAGTCGGAGGCGGAAGTCCTGGCACTGCCGGAATGACTCAAGGCAAAAGTGTACAGCCAAGTGGAGGTCCTGAAACACATCCCCGTACGTAGATGCTTCTTTGACTTCAATATACTAGTTTCAACCACGAGTTCTGACAATGAATTTTAGAGACGAGTGTAGTTGATAATCCGCCAGTTGGTACTACTGTTTCCAGCTACACGGACGAACAGCAGCCCTTCGAGAATACTCTGCGTCAGGAGAGTTACATTAATGATACTGATCGATCATTTCCGCTTGCTGGTGGTGTGGCATCTAACCCACAGGAAAGCCCAAACCATGGAAGCCATGGACGCAAGGGACTTGCTGGAGCGGCGGCTGCCGCAACTGTTCTCGGAGCCTCCCACGCCATCTCCAAGTCGGAAGAAAAAGACGTCAAACGTCAAGGCGCCGAAACTCATCAAGCTACATACGGAGATGCTCCGTCGGCTACTACCCCGTCTACGACTGTCCCGCCAAGCACTGTATGTACACTACTCACTTATTCGTTTCATCTGACTCGACAAAAATCTAACAATCACGTAGACTCAAACAGGTTCGGGCATTCCGAGCCAGCCAGAATCTAGCCACCATTATACAGGAATTACCGCAGCTACTGCTGTTGCCTCTGGTTCTTCCTTACCTCTATCATCCACTCAAGAGAAGAGAATTGAGACTGACAACAACGGAACTATTCTTCCCACGACTGAGCCGATTGGCGACTGTGAACGCCCAATCATCCCACGGCTTGAGTCGCGACATAGGCATATTCCTGGCGAATATATTGCTACACCAAGCGATGAGTCTAACCTGTTTCTGCACTATGATCCTGTAATCGAATCAACATCCAACCACGCAGATGCGAATGAACCCGTTCAAGCTCCCTCTGTGGCTACCGTCTTAAATTCGGAGGAGCCCCCCGAGGACCCTGTTTCTACCACTGGAACCCACGAGCTGAGGCACACCGGAACGCTTGAAGAGCCAAGACCAAAGTCCGCTGGTGACAACCATCATACCCGTGATGTTGCAATGGCTGGTGGTCTTCTTGCTGGAACCGCAGGCCTAGGAGCTCATGCAGCATCTAAAGATCACGAAGCTCGGGATACCGAAAGCAGATCACTACTATACGAAGACTCTCAACCATACAGTGGCAAGGGACTCGACCCACGTGTTTTGGGAGACGAACTCAAGATGGAGGAGCAACGTTTTAACCCCCATGCTAAGGCTCACCATGGCAGTGATCCAACCATATCTGGCCCTCCAGTATTGCATGATCCTTCTCGCGACTCTACTCTAGCCGGTGTTGGTGCTACTCATCATGGGGCTCAAGACGCAGTGGATGTGTATAGTAGCCATAAGATGACGCAGCTTGGTGCATCCATGCCTGAGCAGCGATATGACCCTACTGCTTCCAGTGCTCGAGCCTCCAACCCCATTGCGCCTAGGAGTCAATATGACTACAACAACCCTACCATCCTGGGCAATGTCAATCAAACTGACCCAAATGACCATGTCAACAGGAATGCCGCCTTCACTGGTGCTGGCTTGGCTGGCGCCGCCTTGGGTGCTGGAGCTTACACTCGCGAGCCGCATGCTCATGACGCTCAAGACTTGTCACTCCGTCAAAAGGAAGATTATGCTTCACATGCGCAGGGAGGGCCAGTTGCTCAGCCTATGCATTCCACCCAGGATACTTCACAGACTTCCTGGCCTCTGCGTGACAGCCCTACTCATGTATCGGGTCCCACTCAGGGCACCATTGCGCTGCATAACACACACGTTCAAGATCCTGACATTCAATCATATGGTGCTGTTCAGGATCCAGTCCACAAAGGACACGACACTCGCAATGCTGCCCTTCTAGGTGGTGCTGTGGGAGCAGCAGGACTCGGCAGTGCAGCATACGCCAATGATCGTCATCAAGATCAAGACCGTCGTGAATCCAATGACCATCTCAAGAAGACATCTCTTGACCATGAGAAGGGACAACATCATCGTGAAAGGGACTTTGACAAGGAAAACGAGACGGAAGAAAAGAAAAAGCACAGATTGTTGGGCTTCTTGCACCGTGATAAGTCCAGGAAAGAGAAATCATCGGCAAGCCCGGAGTCTTCGCCTCGCCAATCAAAAGACCACAGTCCAAGACACTCCAAGGAGGATAGCGAGGACCCAGATTCACCCCGCTGGAAAGGCAAACACCTTTTGCACAAGGACCCACCAAAAGGTCATCCTGCACGCGAGGTTCTCGAACAATCTCATCATAGCGACCCATATGCTGTAGGAAAGAAGCAGCATGTAGGTACTGACGGGCCGATTAGTGATCCCTACTCGATAAGCGGCGACCGGTAAGTTTATATTGCATCCCCAGGAGCGTTTTCAAGTCAAACCTAACTTCAGCCACAGTGAAACGCGTCACGGTGCATACGGCGCCCACCCCACCAGTGATTTTACTCAAAACTCTACTGTACTTGAACCGCACACCGACTTACCCATGAACGCTCAACAGTATGGCACTGGAGCTAGAGGCACTGACGGTAATCGTGCCATTCATGGTCAGCATGAACATCCTGGGACCATGCCAGGCCAGAGTGTCACGAGTTGGGAGGCTGTCCGAAAGGCCGATACGCCTTATTAGGTCTGAGTAAGACGAGAGTGCGACCATGCAGTGTATGAGAGGTAATGTATATTTGACGCAGCACGTGATTGAAGAGTAATGTAGTTACTTGATACGACTGTTACGACTAGCGAATATTTTTTAATCTCACACATTCAAATTTCCAGCAATCATGCACCAAAAACTTCCCGTGTTTCATTAGCAAGATAACAGCTGAGGTGTAGCATTGCACCCATATTGCATCTTACATTTGCCAGAGTTTATTGCGGATGAATATGAGTCGCTGGATTGGGCTCAATCGCAGAACCGTGCTGTAAAAGCCGACCGGGTTAGTTTCACCCGAGGCTAATTTAGTAAAAAAGCTTGAAATTGCGAATCAAACGCTTGGAAGTGCTTCGCGGTTGGCTAAGCTTCTTAGTACGAGTTGCGCAAATGCTTACATATCGTTGACGGGAACGTAAAGAGCAAGTACTATAGAATAAATGACTTTTTGGCTACAAAAGTACTCTAAATATTGAGATTCGATCATATGCAACCACGATCTTCCCAGTAGACACGCTCAGATCACACCCTGATAAAAGCCGCGGCAGACGTTTGAACCCCGATTATGACGTTCATGGACCTAGTGATGATTTCACGGAGGAATTGTTCCCATGCAGATCACCCAATCTGCGGAGAAGTAGTGGGGCGACTCATAGGGATGGTCGCGCACGAACTGCATCTATGGAAGCGAATACGACGCAAGCCATCTTTTCGAGAAACAATGAACATTGACGGAGAATTACTTGCAGCGATACCGATGCAAGCAAGATTAGCTTCGGGTGAAGTACCACCACCCGGGCAGTGTAAAAAGATGTAGTGATGCTGCTGGACAATGTTGACGTCTTCGCGCCGCAATTCAATTCTTCACTACCCGTCATGAAGCTTGCTACCTCTTTGGCGCTGAGCTCCGTCGTCCATCAAGGGCTTGCACTCCTTGATTCAAAAGCGATACTGTCCAAGTACTTTGGCAATGATGCACCGTGGTATCAGGACCGCATTCCTCTCTTCGAATCAAGCGATGCCGACCTCACCGATACATACTACTACCGCTGGTCCATCTTCCGTGCCCACCAACGGGATCTAGGCGCCTATGGATTCATCTCAACCGAGTTTCTCAACGACGTCTCCTGGCAAACCAAGCCATGGGCTTCGCTGAATGATGCAACGGGCTTCCATCTTCTGGAGGCTCGATGGTGTCGCGATCGAAGATTCAAGGAGGATTACGCAAATTTCATGTACAGCAAAGACAGCAACAGACGCCAATTTTCAGAGAGTATGGCCTCGGCTGTTTGGGATGGATATCTAGTCGACGGGTCGGTGCCTGATGTCATCAAACGACTGGATGCTATGCAAGTCGTCTATGAGGCGTGGAAGGACTCTTACGACACTTCAAAGGGTCTGTACTGGGTTGAGCCACTTCGCGATGCTACAGAGTACACCATCTCGAGTATCGATGCATCTGGTGGCCTCGATGGTTTCACTGGAGGAGAGGCATTCCGACCGACAATCAACAGCTACCAATACGCCAACGCCCGGGCAATCGCTAACATTGCAGCGCTCAAGGGCGGTTTCGACAGTACGGTTTCGACGTACAACGGACGAGCGCAAGCACTTAAACAGCGCGTACAAGACGCACTCTGGAACTCTACATTCGAGCACTTCATCGACCGGTTCAAAGTCAACAACCAACACGTTGCTTACTGGGACTTCATCCGTGGACGCGAACTTGCCGGCATGGTACCCTGGACCCACGACCTCCCCGACGACAAAGTAGAGTACGCTCAAGCCTGGAGTCACGTACTCAACAGCAGCCAGCTGTCCGGTCCCGCCGGTCTCCGCACCGGAGAGCCCAGCTACCAATACTACATGCGCCAATACCGCTACGAAGGCAAAAACCCAGAATGCCAATGGAACGGACCCGTCTGGCCCTTCCAATACACCCAAGTCCTCTCTGGCCTCGCAAACTTCCTCGATCACTACCCCACCGGCACCCAAACCGGCGTCATCACCCAAAAGGACTACACAGCCATGCTCCGCAAATACGCAAAACTCCACCGCAACCCCTCGACAGGAATCTTGGACTTGGAAGAAGACTATCACCCAGACACCGGCCTCCCCATTGTCGGCCTCAAGCGCTCCCACCACTACTTCCACTCGGGCTTCAACGACCTCATCATCAGTGGCCTTGTCGGTCTCCGCCCCTCCGCCTCAGATGTTCTCGTCGTAAACCCCCTTTTTGATACCTCCATCAGCTTTTTCCGCGCAGAACGCATCCCCTACCACGGCCACGACATCGCCATCCAATGGGACGCCAGCGGTGCGCACTACGGGACCCGCGGCCTCGTAGTTGAAATAGACGGCAAAGTCGCCGTCTCGCAACTTGACGTGTCCAAGATTAGTATCCCTCTTACCCGTGCGCCGCCTCCTGCACCGTTTACTTCGCGTATCGCAAAGTCCATTCAGCTTAACGCTTCGATGCCTTACCCACGCGGAACGGCCTCTGTGGCAAATTCGAATACGTACGCTGCAATCGACGGACGCGTGTGGTTCTTCGATACGCCCGATGCGGCAAATGGGTGGGATTCACCTGTCGCTGCTGCTGCTGCTGCTGCTGCTACCAACAGCACAGCTGCTGAAATGTGGTTCGAAATCGATTTCGGCGCCCAAGTCAATATCAGCAGTGCTGAAATCGCTTTTTTCGCAAACAAAGAACAGGGATTCGCGGCGCCGAGCAAGTACAGGCTTCAGGTTCTGGCACAAGGGGGTAGTAGCAGTTGGGAGGATGTGCAGGGGGCGGTGTATGGCGGTGTTGTGGCGAATGGGGTTACGCAGGCTGAGTGGAAGGCGGTGCAGGGTCAGAGGATTAGGCTAGTTTTTACGCCTGTGGTGGGGAAGAGGGTTAGGTTGGTTGAGTTTAAGGTTTTTTAAAAAAAGGGGGGGGGGGGTTTCTTGTGTATAGTGCTCTTGTGAAGTAGGGAACATTTGAATTTCCCTTGAGTGCGAAAAGGAGGGACGAGGGATGTGTTTTTACTATTCTTGAATAATTGACTACTAGTCTCATGTCTAAGAGTTTGTGTATAGAAATCATTATGATGGATTCTCATTTTAACTTTTTCATGTCTTGTTCGTTTTGCTTTACCGCAGCAATCATTTTTGTGATTTGACTTGGGTATGTATTACGACCTGTTCGGATGCATTGACCAGTATTAGCGCCTTTACCATTCGCCATGAGTTTTGGATTTGACAATTCACCATGTCGCATAGTTAAAACTTCGAGTCTTTTGGGCAGCATGTGTTGTATCATTATCCGAGGGCGGATGTTGAGATTTCACTAAACCAAAACACCTAGCCACTACATCTTCAAGAAGATGATCCTCAGACATGCAGATACTCTTGTCGCATATCTAGAATTCTATAGTCTTCGAGTATCAATTCAAGCTTACGGTTGCAAACGTATATATCGAACTATATTGGGTATGTAATGCAAGTAGCAATTTCAAAACCAAACATCTAAAACTTAATACCTTCCGGGCCCCAGCCCACCAGCCCACCAACCCGAATCAACCCAAGACCTATTCTCCGCATGCGCCGTCTCTACAGCACGGAAAAGCTTCCGTCGGTCAAGATGCAAGTCTTCATGGCCATTCGTCAGCTCAGAGGGTGTCCGTTGCCCTGTCCGTGGTCTCTGTGGACTAAGACTAATTTCCGATGCGGCAGCTTCGGCGTCAGAGTTGGAGACTGGCGATGTAGACCGGGGTGTTGATAAAGCTGGTGAGAGGGAGTTGTCAGATGGGTACATGCTTGGTATAGCCCCAAGGATACGACCAGCTGCAAAAACGCAACCACCCACTGCGTGTCTAATCAGAGAGTCGCCTGTGAGGCTTCCGGTAATAAAAACATCCCTAGCCACTTCGAGCGAGGTTGCTTCAGCTTTTGCACGAAGCGTGCGACCCGAGATTAGGTTGTCCGACAACAATTCGACCGGTACATTGTCAGGTGCACTTAGAACCTCGGATTGTAACTCTGGGGACAGAAAGTCGAGTGTACCACGCCTTCCTACGACATAGGCCAAGCCTCCTACTTCACGCGTAACAATGTCACCCGACGATAGCCGCAATTCTACTTTGGCCACATCCCCAAACCTGTATGCACCAACAACTTCTGCGCCAGGTAGACCCTCGTAAAGCGTCCAGTCTCGCTGCTGGAAGGCGCTCGATCTTCTCCTTGCATAGGCCGGCCGTCCAGATTTGCTCTTTTTCGAAGATGCAATTGCTGCAAGCTTCATCTGGCGATACACAGTGGCATACTCGGGATAAGCAGTATGATGGCACCCTCGGAGTGGAGATGGGCGCTTCTCAGGGTTCCACTGGTAGACGTGTATGATCCTACGTCTTGGCGGGGCCGAAATGATGACGTCTGCAGCGGAAAAGCCTGATCCGATAACAAGCAATGGCGCTTCGGGCAAATTTAATTGCGAGATGGGCGAGAGCAGTGGCGGAGGTGGAATATTGACTGTGAAGATGCCAGATGCTAGCACAAGATGCCTGCATCGTATTCCGAGACTGCCGATTGAGAAGCCCTTGACGGTACGATAAACGTTGTCGACCTTGAGCCCTGTAAGCACGCAGTCGGATATACCTACTGCATCTGGATAGGTCTTGAGGTAATCAGCGACTTCAGTTCTCGATGGACGTATGAATTCCGCCTCGTCTATCTTGCCGGTTCTAGCCAGATGGTCTGCATATGAATAACCTGGTAGGCTAAGCTGTTCGGCATAACTTAGCGTGCCTATGTCGGCGCTCGCAGAGGGCGAATCTTCGGCCCATTGCCCCCCTGCATGTACAGTCTCTCCAATGGCAAGATGTGGGATGGCCTTGTCAGGTTCGTACCGCCATTCAATGCATGATTTGGGATTCAACTCAGTGTCGGCATTTGGGCGAATGAGGGTATCGAGAAGCGTATTGACGGGTAGCGCCTGGGTCGAGTAGCGAAGCGAGGAGAGGAAATGCGCGTAGAGATCCGGGGTTAGGTGGAGAAGATTAGGCGCATTCTGGAGTTTCGCGTCGAGTATGGCGTCATGATGGCCGCCGACGTAGTAGGGAATGTGTCCATGTAGGATGTAGGAGAGGATGAGGGCAGATGGGCCATTGCCTGTATTTGTAATCAGTGTCTAGGTCGCAAACGCTATTCACTCGGGCGCATACCGATGATCACCGTGTCGACGCATTTTGGGAACGAACGAGCCATGGATTGTTGTAGCAGTATGCCATGAGGAAGAGGGAGAGAGAAGGAGGAGAGATGGACCGGGTGAGATTCGAGTGAAGGGGACGGCAAGACAGTTCGGTAGTGTATTATTATCTCTTCAACATGACGGCTGCTCTAAATCTTTTTGCGCTAGGCGCGGTCCTTGTTCCGCGGCAGTGGGGGTTGTGTCGGGTCTTGCCTTCCAGATTGGAGGGGTTGTTTGCGAGGCTCCCCCGGCTCGTCGCCCTGCGCAGGCAGGATTGAGGCAGGTATCGCATCTGAGCTGGTTAGGCGAACTGGGAGCGGCGCGGTGCGGATTGCGTGATTGATGCAGCACAAGAACGCGTGAGGTGCACGAGATGCTTAGGAATCTAACTACCATGGCGTCTGGCATTAGGTCACCGGCCTGCGCGCCCTGTGGGCTTGCAGCATGCAGCATACGGGGCAGGGCAAAGCAAGTGCACATCTAGAATATGTCCCGAAACCAGATCAAAAATAAACTATGGTATCTTTCCAAACAACTATGCTGCCAATCATGCGGTTAAATGAACTTATCAAAAATGTGCTCAGAATGGCAAAAAAAATGTACGCGCTGTGATTTCAAAGCGACGGACGTCTCCGGTCAGATGTGTGGGTACTCGGGCGGTACGCTAGTACCCCACACCAGCATGTCCGGACTTGGGCCGCTAACCAATCCATGATCACATCCCTCACGGCACTCCTAGTATCTGTACGTTATTGTGTTACGCTCTGCAATCGGCGACACGTCATGAGGTCGCTGCTGCGGCACGTTGCCCTCGGGTGTTCGTGGGCGTTCGGTCCGTGATCGCGTATGCTCGTCCTCTTCAGCAATCGGTGGCTGAGCACCGTGCATAGTTAGGTTGTTCGCAGAACTCTCTTGTCGGCCCAGGTAAGATGGAGTCGAGTGGTAGCCAGGATGATATGAGTCGGGTGGGCCACCGTAATCACTTGTTCCTCTTGGGTTTGGGGGTGCGGGTGGAGATGTGTATGGAGATGTGTAGTGATCGGCAAACGGATTCTCCTCTGGCGCGCTCGGCTTTGGTTGCGAAGTCTCTTCGTTTCTGTAGCTACCAGAGGGAGAGGTGAGCGGCTGGGTGCTTGTCACGTTTGCAGGAGGTAATGTGGACGCGCTGGTCTGCGGTGGCGTGTATGACTGAGGAGGCACACCAGCTGGGGCATTGCCGTTTGGAACTGGAGGTGAGGGCGAGGCACCCATGAAGCGGCGCGCCTGGAGCACTGCGCGCTGGTGCTTGGAGGCAGCGAGAGAGAGTTGTTCGTTTGTTTCAATGAGTGTGAGCATGGTGTCGTCATCGGGCGGTGGATTGTCACAGGCAATGTAGCCGTGTATGCTCCGTTGAGCGGTGGTGCAGCGTTCCGCAAACTCCTTGACCAGTTCATTGCTTAGCAGCTCGTTGGCGGGGGTCGATTGCACGAATTGCAGGAGAAGCTTCGCAGATGTGCGCGCTTCCTCGATGCGGCCTGCCAGCTCTGTGGGCGGGGGCAAAGTCTTTGAACTGGATCTGCTGCTTCCAGAGCTGAGGCCACCCTGTATGTTCTGCGACCCCGACCATCCTGGCGCATTGAGCGTTCGGGGACTGAACTGCTTTGCGGCATTGGCCATGAGCCCCTTTTCTTTTTTATACATGGCGAAGAGCGTGTTTAGATTGGAGTCGTAGGACTTCTCGCGCTCCATGGCATCCAGCGTCTCTTTTGTGATTTGCGCAACGCTAGGGTCCTGACCATGGCGCAAGAGGTGCTTCACCGTGTCGGCAAATGGCTTGTCAAGGTTCTTGGTAAAGGAGGGGCCCGGGTTGTCGGACAATATACGGATGAGCATAATGGCATTGTACTGGACATGAGGGCGGGTGTAGTTTTCTTTGGAGAGGAAGGTGCGGATTTGTCTGGCGGCGGCGGATGCAGCAGCTGGGCTTGCGACGGCGGACTCGACAATGGTCGGCAGGTGGAGCACTTCTTCGCCCTATCCGTCGCGGCATGGTCAGTGGGGAGGGAGACAGCCATTTGCAGACAAGACATACCGAGTTAGCAGCACCAGACTCGCAGAAGAGTCTCTGGTTGCTGTTAGCTTGGGTGGACAAGCGTTGGCGAGACGAGGTGGCTTACCACGCCCCTGGCAGCATTTGCTTCTGGCGTATCGGCGTTAGGGTCTACATGGACGGAGTCCTGGGGCGGCGCCGCTGTCTGTGTTAACGCAGTACTCAGAGTATCGGCGCGCGACTAACATGGGCGTTTGCGCATCAAGTTGCCCAAGTTGAGGCGCTTCTTGAGCTCCATGGCGTCGATATCCAGCAAAGATTGATGTGGGGTGTGGAGGCGATGACAGGATGATGTCAAGGCAAGGCGCAAACTAGCAGCACAGAGTGGCTGGGAGGCTGGAGGGCTGAGGGTCTAGGCAATATGTATGGATGCAAGGAATACAGGACCTGTGGTGGTTCTGTGGGCAATAAGAAAGAGATGATGAGGCCTCCAGCACACGCGCGCTTTGCTCCGCGCGGGCGGACGTCCCTAGGTAAGATATGACTTGGCCCCGAGCCATGGCAGCGGCGCAGACGGGTGAGGGTGGGCGACGTAAACGGCCGCGTATAACGTGTGGCAATCGGCCGTTGATGGCTGTGCAGCGTCCTTATCCACGTCTGACAGCCACTATCACCGCCTTACACCGTAGTAGTACGCGTCCTAAAGGGCGGAGGGTGTGCCAAGCAATGCCGCTCTTCGTGGGCATGCACGCCCATGGTCCGATTGTCGGCTTCATTGGACCCTTTGAGTAGAGTAGGGTAGAGTAGTACATACAGTAAGCGCTTCGACTCGACACCCTTGACATGGGTCACGATACATATTTCATACTGTGTCCAGCTTTGTTTCTGAACACGGGTGCACGCACGCTCTCTCCCTCAGACAAATAGCGGCAATAATGGCTGCAGGAAGAGTGGACCCTCAGGCACTACTCGAGACGATATCATGGCGGGCATACTGACAACCAGCACTAGACGTATGTGTACACGTGTACTGCCAACTTGACCGAGTCCTCTATTTTGCCCAGCATTTGGAGTGGCAGCCGGAGTCTGCTGTAGCCACCTCTTTGGCCACGCATGAGTCAGCCAAGATGCAGTCCCGTGTGTCTACTCTACTCTTGTATGTTTGTACTACACCTACACCACCAGGCACACGGCTGAGTTCACTGCCTGCCGATCGACCCCTCCACCGTCTATAGCCTAACTGTGACTGCACCTGCGTCACTCGCTGCTCCATGACACACAGCCAGGCACTCAACCCTGCCAAAGGTACCCACTACCGGTAGACAGCCATAGCCTCATCCACGTTTGCAGCTCCCTTGACCTCCCATATTCTGTAAATCAATCTCGCAAGGCCATGGTGCCTGGATGCAATACAGATGTCCATGCTACTCTATATGTGTAGTAGTGTACTACTCTACAGAGGGCAGTGCAGCACAAAGTAGGGATCTGAGACCCACTTCCTCGGCAGGCGATCATGCCCCAGCCTATGCGGCAGCCATGGCTTGGCTAGACGTCATTCCTCATGCGCATTCGCTCCAGCTGCGAGACACCTGTTGACAGCCACTCACAACCGCCTGGTCAAGTGCTAGCCCAAAGTATATGACCGCGACTATGGCCATTGCACCCCTTTGTCCCGTGCAACACCCTCTCCTCCTGACCTTTGAACCACCATAGCAGTCCGCCGCCCTCGTACAACCCCACCACCCTACAAAATGGCGCCTGAATCCGCTGCTGCAATGGCCGGCCGTGCCCGCATGCGCGTTGAAGAAACTGAACAAGAGCGAGTCACCAGAGAAACATCAAACTTCGCCGCCTTTGAAAAAGATATGCCTAAGCTCGCCAACCGTTTCAGCTTCTCTCTCAAGGACAACCTCTCCTCCTACCTTGGCCGCAAGAACCCTTTCTACTCCCTCGTCAATTCAAAAACCGACTATGTCTGGATCCTCGACAACACCGCTTACCAGAATCGGCTCGGAAGGTGGAAGGCCGAGTTTGTCGCCTGCTACTTCGTAAAGGACAGCGGCAAGGACCTTTCTCAGATAGTCGCTTGGGTCAGCGAGAAGATTGGCCTTGCAGACGATGAGCAGGCCAGACGGACCGTCGCAACTAGGCTCCAGCCTTTTGCAGATCAGATCCTTCCCGCCCACTCGGTCGAGATTGATCTCTTAGGTTTGAACGCCAGACTGGGCCCTAGCGGTCGCGATGGCATCAGCGTGGACGAACTGGCCATTCCCGGCAACGACTACAAAGACGGCCAAGTCACCAGCTTCAAGGCTGTCGACGCAGCTGCAACACCCTTCAATATTACCTTTGCCAAGTCCAAGGGTTGGGCAGTCCTCTCTGACATCGACGACACCATCAAGAAGACGCTCACGCCCTCACCCGTTGGTATCCTGACAACTACCTTTGCAGAGGAACCAGAGCCCATCAAGGGAATGCCTGAGCTATACAAACACATTGTACAAAAGCTCGACAACCCGCCCTTCTGGTATCTCTCTGCCTCACCCTACAACCTCTACCCCTTCCTCCGCAAATTCCGCGACCAGTACTACCCCAACGGCACCATGATCCTGCGCGACGCCAGCTGGATGAACCTCGCCGGCTTCCTCACAAACCTGACCCAAGGCACCGAAGCCTACAAAGTCGATCGCATCGAGAAAGTCTACGGGTGGTTTCCTAAGCGCAGATTCATCCTCATTGGCGACTCGACCCAAACTGACCCAGAGTCGTACGGCGAGGCCTACCGCAAGTTTGGCAGCAAGTGGATTGGCGCTATTTACATTCGCAAAGTGACGGGTGTTGCGGAGATGGATGAGGGCTCTAAGAATAGCCCGGAGCGGTTTGAGAAGGCGTTCAAGGGGGTGCCTAGGGATCTTTGGTATGTTTTTGAGGATCCGCAGGAGCTTTATGCCAAGATTGATGCGCTGCCTGCTATCAAGTAAGGACTTGGATTGCACTGTTTAGAGTCTTTGGGAAGCAAAGAGCAGGGGGGAGAGGATTATGTTTATTCCAGTCTGCATTTCATATGATACCATTTTTCGAGTTGGGAGGTAATGCGTGCTTTGGGGTAAAGAATGGCGTTGCGGTATCAATACTTCTTCTCTTTTCTTTCCTTCTGTGATAATACAACTGATTACTATGATATTTCACTTCGCATGTATTCTTTTAACATTCACATCATTCATGCGCGTTTGAAATGGGTTTCTTCTTCACAAGTTTGGCGTCTTAGCCTCTTCAATATTACTAATCTGACTATGTAACATGCGTAATGCATTGAATCAATGTCCCTCTGTACCATGTACCCTTCCACTTTCTTCTTCCTTTCTTTGTCTTGTAACCACACGATATGAAGATTCAGATTTCACACTCTGACATTACCTTAATACTACTACAAGTCAAGTATGACGGACAACCATGACTATAACCAGGGCCCCGATCTACTGGCCATGTATATACTGCTATTGCTCAGCATGGGGATATGCGGATATTGTTTCTTTCTGGGCACGGTTGCAGTCCGCTTGTGCGTTTACAGGGGTAGTCTAGGACCTAAGCCGAGGGCGTGTTGAGGGAATATTAATCAGCAAAGAGGGTATTAGCAGGTCGTGTGCACGCTGTCGGTGTGAGTAAGGAGTATGAGAAGGAGGAGGAGGAGGAGGAGGAGGAAGAAGCAACCAGTACTTATTCTACTCATCACACAGCACCAAGCATAAGCAGCAAGCAGTAAAGGTGAGGTATAAAGAATTTATTTAAAACTAAGATGCTATGTATGAAGAGAAAAAAAGAGCGGCCGTTACATTCATCAATCCACCCCATTTTTTTACCTTCAAACCCCCTCCCAAGCCATTACGGTGTGGAGAAATAAATACGTAACTTTGTAACTAGGAGATATATAGATGAGAGAGAAGAACACACAAAACGACAACCCCCATTATCCAGTTTCCCCATGATTCGTTGACCAGAAATAACACATGGCTTTCCCCCTTTTCCTTCCATCTTTTCTTTCCTCCTCGAAGCAGCGACGCTCAAGCTCAATGCATGTGCAACCCGCGAGCTGGTGGACTCGAGCGGGATGTCAGACACCAGAACGTGCATCGAGCTGCTTTTTCTTCCTTCATTCCTTTCCTTCATGTCCCCCTCTTTCATGTCCACCGCGCATGCGCAAATAGACGGAGTCCTAGGGCTGAGCAATAGTTGAACCAATCCCGACTTTTTTTGGCACTCGGGAAACCACAACCCTTGATGAAAGAGTTGAAAAATCCCATAGTAAGTGTGCTCTTTGTCTGGGATCTGCTACGAGTCCGTGCCCAGATGGTATCCCACGCCTCCGCCCTGGTCTAATCCCGAATCATGGGGGTTATATTCTGATTAGGCGAGATTAAAAAAAATTCTGAGTTGTTGAAAACTTGGATGTCGTTTAAAGTATATGTGTGTGGTGCTTGTGCCAAACAGCGAAGCGAAAAAAAAACATAGTCGGTCGACTCAGGGGACAAAGAATCCTTAACGCTTGATCCCTAAAGCGGATAGTAAAAGCAGTGGAGTCGTGTTGTCGGCGAGAGGTGGTTTATTGGGAACACGCATTAAGGGGGATGCGGGTCGTGCCACGAGGGTCTAGACACATACACAAAGAGACGACGTGTATGTATGTGTACAGGCGTAGTAACAACGAGGTGGTGCTCACACCGCCTCTGCCACCCCCACCCCCTGCGACCAGCCCATAAAAAAAGTGGGGTCGGGGAAGTGGCCATGCCATGCGATGCACGAGAGTGGAGCAAAAAAGGTCGTGGAATGCAGGTTCAAACCGCCCCGGGGGCTTCTATGGTCGTTGTCCTTCTGTTTTTGTTCAAGGGTCCTCGTAGTCGTAGAAGCCGTCGAAGAGATCCGTGACGACTTTGAGCATGGGTTCCATCAGACACCGCTCATCCTCCGGTAAGCCACCAAAGATGCGGAGTCGCTGCGTCTCTAGCTCTAGCTCTTGCTCCTGCTCCCGCTGGATTCGCAGGCGCATCTGCCATGCTGTGTACGTCTGCTGCCAGTGGTTTGCTGGCACGTTGGCAAGCGGGCAACCAGAGGGCTGGAAGCAAGAGCTTGTTGGCGAGAGAGTTGAAGAGGCGGTGCTGACAGACTCGCTCCGGATGTGGATTGGTGTTGTATTAATGTTCAGGTTGTTGTTGGCATTAGGATTATTGTTGTTGTTGTTATTGCGGTTCCTGGGACGGCTTCTGGTTCGCTTTCTGTTGTGACGTTTGCCCATATCTTCTTCTTCTTCTTTTTTTTGGTTCTTTTGTTGGCGGTTTGTAGTGTAGAATAGGGTAGGTGTGGTAGATGATGCTGAGATTGCGTAGAGTAGAGTAGAGTAGTTGTTGTTGTTGTAGTAGCAGTAAGGGGAGAGAGAGGCGGGGCGAAAAGCCGCAAAGGCGGCTAATAATCTCAGTAGAGACCGGCATAGAAGCAGGATGGTGTGCAAGACTTATATACACTGGCCATGATCACCTCATTCATGCAGGTACCCTACCCAGTCAGCCATGGCCGGGAGTAGTAGGCTGCAGGGTGACTCAGAGCCGCGCAGTGGTGTGACGGGGATCAGGAAGATGCTACCAGCCAGCGAATGGCGGCCCGCTGTCACTGGCGGGCCATCGCGTCATTGGTCAGCTGCCGCAGCCGAAGATCGGGCTTTGCAGGAGTCATGCCTGGTCCTGGGCCTGCACAACTCAGCGTTGTAAGGCTCTTCACCTCCTTCTTGCCCAAACAACTCATCACCAATCTCCCGAATGTGGTCTCCGTTTTTGCTTCTTCGCCTCAGGCCGCCGTGGCAAAAGGGCGAACATCTCTGTCTGCCTGCCTCAGCCTCCGAGACACTGCCCGCCCAAAAAACCGGTTTCGCTTGCGGCTGCGCAGTCACATAATACACCCGCGAACTCATGACTGCAACAAAGCACCACATGACAGGAATAGCATCTCTTCAACACCGCCATGTGCCTGGCCAGCCCTGGCCATGACCACCCCCCGGATAGAAGGCGGTAGAAAATCTCAACATCCGCGCTCTGGCCGCCATGGGGTCGACCCCCGACGGGTAGGCGGCCTGCGTGGGCTGCCACATCACGATGTCGACCGCCATGTCACGCTGCCCCCCATGCTAGAACACAGGAACCGTTCCAAGGATCTTGACACCTAGCCTTCAACACAAACACCCGGGGTGCTCACTTTTGTCCTGAGCCATCACTACGTCATGGATCCATTTTCCAAGTCAGCCAGCCTTGCGCTCCTGACAGAGTGCACCTCATGCGCCAGAAAGAAAAAAAATAGTAGGTATCAGGTCGAAGCTACGCTGCCTAGTCGCTGCCCTGTCGCTGCCAGCAGTATCATGCAAATGGCAGATCATGCTAGCCCTTTTGGTCCGATTGGGGACGCGTCGGCCCGCCTAAGGCAATTGTAGATTCAGATATGCTCCCAATCACGTGCTCATCACAAGTATACCCACCAGATCTTATATTTTTGTAAAGACAAAATCAGCAATAGTCAAATTCAGGCATATTCCTGGTCTAAGTAGTCGCCCTGTTCATGTAAGACTATGTCGGAGTTCTCTGCATCTGTTTTTGCCGACATGCCGTCTGACCTACGGCTCTCCATGGACACCCCGATCCCAACATAGCACTAGCTAAACAGATGTCCACCACTCGAAACAGTCAAAAATTCTAAAAACGCGTAATCTTAGTCTTGATTCGCTTCCACTTATGTCACTTTTGTCTGTTTCGGGTCTGCTGCGACGGTTTGGGCGGACTTGGCCTGCACCGCCGATAGTTGCTGCACCATCAGCTCAGCTGTAAGCGTTGGGATGGGTAAATAATAAGTAGCCCATGTTTCCTTCTATCGGCTGCGCAAGACTATTTGGTCATATTCATGCTACTCAGTTCAACGTGGCGCCTCCCATCATGACTTTCTCAACAAGAACCCTTCTACTTAGCTTAGGTGCGTGTGTAGGTAGATCGATCTTCAATCCCTGGGCTGATTTGATACTAGCAATAGCCACCACCATTGTGTCCGCCCAATTCGGCCCTGGCCCTGGCGATAGATGGAGCCCTGGATCGAGTGATGAATGGAGCTCTGGGACATATGGAGGCGAGGGTGATGACGCCAGTAGCGACTACGCTACACAATATGGCAGTGATGGTGCAAATGGCGGTTTCGCAGACGCGGATTCAGAATCGCGCCGCAAACTCATCGCAGCACATGGTGTCCTCGCTGCCCTCGCCTTTGTCCTCTTCTTCCCCCTCGGCTCGATCCTCATCCGCCTAGGCACTTTCCGTGGCCTCTGGATCGTACATGGCCTGTTCCAACTCTTCGCGTACACCGTCTACCTCGCTGCCTTTGGCATCGGTGTGTGGATGATCAATGACATGCCCGTGAGTCTATTGGACAACTACCACCCCATTATCGGCATCATCGTCTTCGTCATGCTCTTCTTCCAGCCCATCCTTGGCTTCATCCACCACCTCCAGTATAAAAAGTATACCCGACGGACAGTGTGGTCGCATTGCCATCTCTGGCTAGGACGCATACTCATCACGCTCGGCATGATCAATGGTGGCCTTGGTCTCTTGCTTGCCTCTGGTGCGCCCGCGTTTACGGGTATTGCTGCTAGCCGCGGCCAGATGATTGCATATGGCGTTGCTGCAGGCATGATGTGGGTCCTGTGGGTTGTCTCGGCTGTGTATGGAGAGAGGAGGAGTGCATTATCGAGAAAGGCGGCGCTGAATAAAGAGGTGGGAGTTGCGGAGCAGCCTAGACATGTTCCTAGTAAGGGAGCTTATGCCTAAGTTGATTACGATACTCAGTCATGCTGTCTTCTTTTTACTAAGACGGCAAAGGATATTACGTTGATGTCTAGATTTTTTACGATTACGACTCCTTACGGTATAACTGCCTCTTAGCTTTGTATGCAATAACGATTGTTTGGTTGATTCTCTATGAAAGTCTTCATGGTACTTGACTAAACATGCAACTGTGATCTCTACGCGCAAGAACATTTACAGAGCTATAGAAAACGACATCAACAACATGGCATTCGTAACCACCATGACAGCCAATTCCCCAGACTCGAAACCTTCTCATCCCTCATGACACAACATATCTACAGTACCTACGCACCAGCCAAATCAATGCGAACCCCAAGTTCAATAAAAAACCATCAGTCTCGAATGCAAAATTGACAAAAAAATCTCTCGATGAAGCCAAAGCTCAAATCACCACCCATCCATCTATGCAACGCCCACTCCAATCATGCCTTTCACCAAAAAAAAACACCCTATGCTGCACCATCTATCCCCATTTTACCTCCCTCCCTCCCTCCTTACTTACCTACCCATCC